ATTACGTCATTTTATTTCAGAAGGTAAAATTATCCACTTTGCTTGAGAAAACCTCTCTTCAAGGGCATAGCTGAGTTTGTACAACCATTTTGTTATTTTCAAAGCAACACTGCCATCTACTGGTTGTTGTAACAAGTGAGTGCTCATTTCTCTACTTCTGAAGTCTTAGCATTGTTTTATGTACTTCTCGCCCGGAGTTAAAAAAATGCCTTGTGTCTGTACATTATCAGAAATTGCGTCACCACAACATAAATGTACTGAAAATAAATATTGGATCTTTTTTATTATTATTTCTCAATATCAAATCTTTTTTTAAACATGGATCACAAATAATAACTTGACGCAATATTGAAAATGAAAGGTGACTGGTGAGTGACGTCATTGTTGGTGTTTGCATAACAATATCATCACATGCCACAGTCAAAGTTTATAGCAGAAATGAAAGAAAATCTGCTGAGGCATCGTTCATTTCTCTGTGTTCGCCTTTAACAGCTCCTCTTCTCAAACGGCAGGTAAGATCTGTAACGTTTTTAATTCAGATAACTTTAATTATTTTATTAAAAACTGACAGCTTTCAGGTTTAACTCATACCTAAGAGAGTAACATTATTTTAGAGTCGTGGTTGTCTTGATTCCAGGAATCATGGCCGCAGCAGGTTTACCTGGAAGCGGACATCTGGCCGGACTCAGACCCACAGAAGGATTGTTCCTCATTCTCTCTGTTCTGGTTCTGGTTTCGGTCACCAACTCAATGATGAGCAAAGATTACCTGGTAAATCATTTCTACTTTAATTTTCTTTTAGATCTAAAATAATTAATTTCCACCTTTAAAGTGGAGGTTTTAAAATTTGCAATTAGAGATAAAATAAAAAGTTTATTTTTGCTTTAGTTTTGGTTTTAAGGTCTGGAAATTGGCTTATTTGAATAAGAAATATATAATTTTATGATCTCCAAGTTCTTTGCAAATTATTTCTTTCTATTTATCTGTTTTTAATTTCATAATCACTCTTGACACAGTGAGCTCCGGCTCTCTGATGTGCTGTTACAATGCTGCTCATCTCATATAAACCCTCATTTCTGAACATTTCAGACAATAATTCAGGAATATTATGAGGGTGGACTGATGGACGCAGCTGACAAGAAGGTGAGTTAATCAAAACTTTTCTTCCATCATTTATTTAGTTTATTTTTAAATAGTGATAAAATGCACAATCGCTGGAGAAAAGTTAAAACTTGTAAGGACACAGATCTGATGGTATGCAACCCCTGTATAGACGATTTAATAAATATATTGTTTTTTCCTCTTAAAAGAAAGAGTTTGAGAACCAGCTGACCGTCGCCTCGCAGGTCTTTGAAGAAGAGATGGAGAAGTTTCATCCCATGTTGAATCAAGTGAAAGCTGCAACAGCGAACTCTACATCTCTGAAGGGACTCCTGAGCTCCATCACCAACCTCTTAGTCAAAAAAAGGAAAGACTTTGCTAAGGGTAAAAAGGCACATCAGGAGGAAATTGATGATATTTGGAACTTCGTAAAAGCCGTGCATTATGGTGAAGATTTGCTGTAACAGCGGTAAAATCTATTAAAGCTGATCGGTTTCTGAGTGAAGAGACACTGATTGTAGAAATTGTGTTTGATTCTGCTCAAGTGATCTGTTTTTTGTCAATCATGTTTTTCTGCACTGATGTGTAAATTTGAACTTTTATTTTTTTGCTTAAATTTGTGAATTTAGCAGTTCGTAATTTGTTCTAATGCCAAACTGCAGCTCTGAATTACCTTTGTGTTTAATTTGTTTATTTTTGGTGAACTTCTTTTCTGTTTTTAAGGTCTCAAAAACTGAGCCGCATCTATCTGGTCAGGATTTGTACTTTTAACGTTTTGAGTTTAAGCAACATAAAAATGCAACATTATTAATGTGAATTTCTTTGATGCCACAAAAGAGTTGTTGATAACTGAAATTAGATATTTGTTTCCACAACAAAAGTTCTTCCCAGATAATCAGGGGTGCAGCACAACAATAAAAATAAAAATACATAAAAGTAACACCAATACAAACATCAGATCCACATAACCATCTCACTTCCATACAATTATTTTTCTGAAATTAATCGTTAACTAATATGCCAGTTGATTATAATGATAACCTTCTTTCATGTGTTAATATTTGCTCTAAGCCGTATAAAAGCATCTCTGAGGTGCAATGCTCATGAAGGTGTCGATTGTATTTTTGCATGAAAAAACTGAATGTTCCACATTTTGAATATATTAACTTGAAAACAATAAAAAAAAGGTGCAAATGTGTGTTTGGAGGTTTTGTAGCCAGACTGTTGTGGTTTTTGTCACAGCTTCATCATGAGTTACCATTTGTTTTGCAGCAGAATTGAAAGAGAAACTACGTCAAAGTGAAACTCTAGAGACAGTTTATAAGCTTCAGGTAACCTGAGGAGTATTATAAGAATTGAACAAGCGTCATTTTGTCACCTATTGAGTTTCAGCTCCTCTTTTCTCTACACTCCAGGTAAGACCAGTGACTCTCTTTTTAATTAAGACACATTTCAGTTTTCTTTGAGGTAATAACCAAATTAAGTGAATTTCTTATGATTTCCTAGGTTGTTTTCTCACTGCAGACATGACCAGATCAGCTTCATGTGGAAACAGAGGATTGCTAGGCGTCGGACCGACCAAAGGACTGCTCTTCATCGTCACTCTGCTGGGTCTAGTTTGTGTAGCCAACTCTCTGATTGACACAAAGCACCTGGTAAAGTGTTTTCCTCACATATTCAGCTTTATTTTGTTCATGAATATTAACTAAAATTGGGTCTGAGACAAAACAAGTTAGTAATTTAACCAAAACACTGTGTGTGGACAATAGAAAGACTTTGGATCGCTCTGCAGTTTAATCTGTTTGAATGTTGTTTTCACCGCAGAGTTATTATTACCACGTAAATTCCAAAACATGACTTAGTTGTGGTTTTTACATTGTTGAAAATGCTTTTGCAGCTCTCATCCTCTAACATACAGCTCTTTTTTGCACATTTTAGAAAATAATTCAGGAATACTATGAGGGTGGGCTGGAGGATGCAGCTGACAAGAAGGTGAGTCATTGATAAAATATGAAAAGCTTTTATGACACCTTTATTAATAATTTCAGTATAAATCTTGACAAAAGTGTGTCTGAGATTGTGTAATACATAACTCTACAGAGATCTAGTTTCTCTTCTGTTTTCCCCCTAAAAGAAAGAATTTGAGAACAGGATTAAAGTTGCCTCCATCATCTTTGAGGAAGAACTTGAGGAGTTTCTTCCCACGTTGAAGAAGCTGAAAGCTGCAACAGCAAACTCTACATCCCTACAAGGACTCTCAAGTTCTGTCACAGATTTCTTAGTCAAAGAAAGAAAAAACTTTGCTGAAACTGTAAAAGCAAATCAGAAAGAAATTGACGATATCTGGAGTTTCATTAAAGCTCAGGAGTACGGTGAGGATTAGCTGCAGCTCGTCTTTGTGGCAGATATTTGGTGTTTTTCTAATGTTTCTCCTCTCTTTATTGTCTGAGCAGATTTTCTTTTTCATATTTATTTGTTATCTAAAGTTATAATTGAACCAGTTTTTTGTGAATGCAAACACCATTGACAGCCTGCAGGTATCTGACGTTTGATTCCATCCAATCACTCCACGACACTATTGATCCTTTTAAAAAGCCACTTAAAGCACTTTAGTGAATTTGATTTGATGATTTTGTCTTATTAAATGATGTTCTTCATTCATAATTTATTTTAAGAATTTCATTTTGTTGTTTCATAAGACGTTTGTGATTCTTCCCTGCTAAAATTGCCATATAGATAAACTTTATGTACCAACTTGTTTCATGCTTGAGTATTTAAAAAACCTTCAATAAAACACATTTAAAACTCTGTCCTGCCTATTTTACTAATACATGTCTATAGCTGTGATAGAGATTGTATGAATTAAAAAAAAATACATAAACAAAAATAAAACTCCTGAGTATTTCCTGCAGCAGATCAACAGGTGGCAGTGTTGGTTCTGATTCACAGAAATGTCTTTGGCTCTGAGAGTCATGTTTCCATGTTTCCATATTTAACTGAAGCATAAAGTTAAATATGTAACTGTATGAATATTAAACTGAATCCTATTCCGCCCCTGACTGATTTAGATTTGTAATTATTTTTTTTCACATAACAGAAGAAAATCAGATGATCTAAGTCTTAATTGATCTTAATTGATTTCTGGTCCTGCACCCAGTATTGATCAGAACTTTACCCCATTTCAAGGTCTATATTAAAATTCAGACATTTTAAATGGGTCAGAAATATAGAAGAATAAAAAGGGAAGAGAAAAACGAATTAGAGCCAATGGAAAGTTTCCACATTCCTTGTGCTGTTTGTTTTTTGTGATTTATTTGTATGGATTAATTTTACTTAAACAGAGGATTATACAAAAATAAATCTGTGGATTTAAGCCTTGATTCCAAAGTCTACCATGGGTTAGAGCATAAAAAACAAACTTTTATATACATTTTGTTTTGCTGTGTGCATCTAAACGATAATTGCATCCTTCAATGAGAAATAATTCCTGTAGGTGTTTGTGTTCACCATAACCATGACAACAGAAATCAAAAATAAATGCTGTATTTGTTTATTAGTCCTTCTCAATTGTCATTTTGCACTTTACCATTTGACTGTGAACTTGTTGTACCTTCTTCCTTATTATTTACGTTATTTCTTCCTAATGACGGTTGTCCAACAGAAACACGTCAAGAAGCAATTAAATGTCTTTCCAGTTTATACCTGGCTGGTGGCCATTTTAACCAGGTTTTAGTTTTTCTTTCACTTCTGATCCTGGTTCTTACTTGAAATGGATCATTTTCTGTCAGTATTAATAATGTGGCCAACCCAGTTGTGGCTATCAGCAAATGTTTCTCTTCCATGTAGGTTTTTTTCTATTTTCTCATGTTACGACCCATGTGACTTGACCTTTGCTTTCAGTTTTAAAACCAGCTGTGTTGTATCTCCATTCAGTTCATCTTTTATTCACCCACAGGTAAGATATTTAAGACTGGAAAGCTATGCATTTTAATTAGGCTTTTTTTTAAAAATCATTTTATTACAATTTGTAATTAAGTCTATCATGATTTGCTTTTTTTCTCCTGAGTGATTCAACGGCAGAAATCATGTCAGAAGCAGGAAGTAGAAGACTCAACAAAAGCTTTTTCCAAATAGTTGCCCTGCTGTTTCTAGTCCACATCGGACAGTCGCTGGTTTTTGGAAATTATCGGGTAAACTGGCTTTTTCTAGGAAGATTTAAACATTCAGTTTATAACTTCATTATTGCATTGGCAAAATCTTTTGTCTGTTTTCCTTGAAAGCTTCGGAACCAGTTTGTGAAAGGCTGGAAGGAAACAAAAGCATGGGTTACACAGCTGGTAAGTTTCTTTTTTGCTCACATTTGTGTGACACATTTTTCACATTAAATTAACAGTAAACAGAAATCAAATGTCTGCTAATGAAGTATTTTTTAATTATCATTAGACAGAAGCCCAAAGTGGCACTGAATTTATCGTAACACTTTTGGACGAAGCGTACCCTCTGGCAACCAGGAAGCATCTTGTGAGTAATACTATGGCTTTAATTTGTCGAAGGTTAACTACAGTATTTTCTGAACACACAGTTTTCACATCTATTCTCTTCCTCTGGTTAATCACAGGAAACATTTTATCAATATCTTCAAGCAGCCGTAGATGAAGCACACAGACAGAAGGTGGGTCAGTCGACCCTTCATATTAATCGGATGCTAGTTATTTGTAAGAGGTTAACAAAATATTTATATATATTTTTTCTACAAATTTTTTCTACCTACAGGTAGAAAAATCATCGGATGTTACATTGAAGATGCAACAACTTCGTAAGATCCTGGATGATCCTGAACAGCAGGAAAAGTCAAAAGCTAATCATCCATTGGTGAGAAAGTTAAAAAAAGCCAGAGAGGAACGTCTTGAAGTTTACAGGATGTATTTAGAGTTAAAGGAAGACGCCTTCAATGGAAAAACAGAGGAGACTGAAACTAAACTGAGATATACTTTCAATAAAATCAAATCCTGGAAGAAAATATACAATTTTTTTGAAAATTTACCAATCATGTTTGTTTGCGCGTTAGCACTTTATTGGACATGTTCCTGCATCTGTTGTTGTATATTCTAATACTTATAAATTGATTCACAATGAACTATCATTTTGTACCTGCTGAAAAGTTTAACTCTTATTGAACTTTGAGTAAGTTGTTGGGGAAAACAGGAGACGGTTGTGTTTGTGTCTGTTAAACCATTTTTATGTTCATAAAACTTTACTTACTGAAGGATCAGTAAATTGTATTTTAATAAACTGTTTCCTGGCAGAGGTAACTATTTTACAAGATGTGGTGCCATGTTCACAAAAATAAAGATGATGATTAATTGTGCTCTTTTGTGGAGTTTGATTATTTTTAACTTATTCATATTTTCATTTTGTTAAATTTCTTATTGCCTCCCAGCCTCACTACTGAATATTCTCCGTCAACTGTTTAGCTTATTAACTCAAATGGTTTCCATACTGGTTTATGTTACCTTCACATGCTCTAGCTTTGATTTTCCAAATTACAACTCAACATTTTATCCATCAGAATTTAAATTTTGTCTAACTGATCAATAAGTAAGAAAAGTTCTTTTGTGTTTGGCACGATGTTCGGTGGTTGGAGGTGAGGAACGATTAAGCGATAAAATGTAACGATAAAATGTTTCTAATAAAGAATCAGGACCAAACTCAGAATGACAGGCAGCACTAGAAACAGACAAACAATGGACAAATGACGAGGACCCGACGAAGGACAGAGACAACAGGTGGGATTAAATACACAGGAAAGGTCATAGTTTTGATTTAGGTCATAGTTTATATATATATATATATATATATATATATATATATATATATATATATAT